TCAGTATGAAATGTCCGTTTTTGAGAGTCAACTTCAGTTTATCATATCTCATACAACGCAAATTACAATCAATCAAAATATGATCCTAAGTTATCAACACATCTTTGCCATTTTAAAGGTAACTTATTAATTCCATCTCTATAGAAATCTGGGGAGCGAGAGGCAATAAAATCATGAAAGGCACTTTCTACTCATCCCTAAGAATTAATAAATTTTCCCTAGCAAGAAGATGATCAAGCTGAAAGAAATGGTAAATGTAGGTGCTGAGGTCGGGAGAGTAAGGAGGATGAACGAGAAGTTTCCAAGTCCAAATCCTGTAATTTTAACCAGGTCGAGTTTGCCACATGTGGCCGAGCGTTGTCCTGCAGTAAGGAGGGGCGACGTCGGTCTCTGTTAATCATTTCGGCTGCATAACAGCAAGCTTCCATCATTTCCTCCAGCTGTTGACAGTACGCCTCCGCCGTGATCGCCTGACCAGGTCTCGTAAAGCTGTAGTGAATCACTCCTGCGGAGGACCACCAAACTGATACCATAGTCTTCCTCTGGTGAGGGTCCGGCTTCGGCGTAGGTTTTGGCGGTTCCGACTTGTCCAACCACTGGTAAGACCGCTTCCTGTTATCGAAATGGATCCACTTCTCGTCACATGTGACGAGACGGTGTAAGAAAGGCTCGCTTTTTTGCCTAGAAAGTAAGGAAAGGCAAGCCTCAAGGCGGACCCTCTTCTGACGATCGCTCAAGTCGTGCGGTACCCAACGGTCCAGCTTCCTACTCTTGCCAATTTGCTTCAAATGAGACGAGATCGTCACCTTACATACTCCAAACTTTGCCGCTAATTCTCGAGTACTTTGAGTGGCTCCAGCTTCCACACGCGTGCTTTAAGCTGCATCGATTGTTCACTATTGCACCGGGCCTCCTCTCGACTCATTTTCGAAGTATCGAAGTCGCCGGATTCCAAACTTTCGCAAACCAATCGAACGACTGTCTTCGTTCGTTAAGGGGTTCATACCTTCTCCAAAGAACGCAGTGATATTCCGAACTGCCCTGTGCTGGCGGTGATTTCCACGGCTGAACTCGACTCCAAGAGCAACCAGCAATTGACTTGTCTCGATGTCGTTAAAAGAAAACCTTCTAAAAAGTAGATCATCCACGGCGAAGCCGAGTAGCTGCACCGAAGTAAGACCAGAGGAGGCGTGCACCTTTATCCGAAAGTCGAGTACCCGAAGGACTGGCGGAGGCGTTTTGCCTATAGATAACGGCAATCTCGAACTTGCACTTCCTAAAAACGGACATGTTCATAACTGAACGACCCTGATATAGTGTTTCCCCCCCCCCGCTCGACCAGTAAAAATCTTGGGGGGGGAAAGTAGGGAAGCTTTCGGGAATTTTAGAAAGTGGACAGAGTTGCGGGAGCTGGGGAAAATGTGACAGAACTTGATAGAAGGGAGGGGTCGTGACTTGTCCGGCTTTTCGTTTCCACATTGCTATTTACCCACCCCTCCTCTCCCCCCCGCTCGATTCGATGAGGAGGAACAGAGGGCCGGAGGGGGGGGGGGTCGTACCAACCCCAAAAAAAAGGGGGGGATCGTACGGACTCGACTAAAATCCCCAACCAGTGATGTGCCCTACTACCGTCACTACACGCCTAGTTTTATTGAAAGGATTCCATTCGTACTGATTACAGTTTGAATTGAATGACTGGCGGAAACAATTAGGGCGAATGATGGGATGTTGAGATCAGCTCATGTGATATGTGCTTATGAAGCGTTCCCTAGCTCCAGTAGTTTCCCCTGGTGGAGGGAGATGTTGACAGTCACCCCCCGTGTAAAGCCACCTTTTAGGGGGAAGTCGTACAGACTTGACCAAAACTCCTAACTAGTGAGGTGCCCTGGCACGGAGTTTTTTATGTCGCCTATTGCAATTTGTCCAAAAGGGAACAACATTCAGTTGCTTTAACTATTCTAAGAAAACAAGGCAAAATCCTGATGCTGGCAGAAATATAGGCCAAGATAGTTTGACACTTTGAACACGATTATTGCATCCGTCAAGTACAAAGGGCTCGCTGATTTGGCGGAAATTCTTCGGAAAACGTGAATCTAACTCATATCAACTGTATGTAATGGCCATGCCTACATGCAGAATGATCGCAATCTTTGCGTTCAAAAAGTCAAACTATCACCACGGGCAATCTCCGGATGAAGCTCATGATTTTTGAGCATTTTGAGCAGACGGTCCCAGACATACTGAACATGTGAGTAGCAAAGTGGCAGTTGCTAGATATGGTGAGCATGCCGAATGAGTTGTGCAATTTGTGCTTTCCGGCATTCTCCTAATCACTTCGTAAGCCACCAAAATCACCACTGCTCATTGCAACATGTTTGCAGTACAAGCTTTCAGGATACTCATCCTGCTTGCTTAAAAAACACATCTTGCTTCGAAAGGTGTCCTGTGTCATTCAAAAGAAGATGTCTTCGATTCGGCAACGGTCCACTTCAGAGTGGGAATGGGATCTATGGGGAGTAACTGTCTACAACTAAATGAAAATGAAAAGGGAGTCATACAATGCTAATAGAACGTCATTCCTGCATGAGGCGCGCTTTCTCATGCCAACTAGTAGTCGACCCACGTGGTTTCAATAAAAAGAAGTGATACTATGTTACATCAAGTATGTCAATAAGAACAAGAGAGGTGGTTCGTTTCAACCCAGTATGAATGATGGGAGCTAGAAGGAAAAAACCAACAAGACACGCGAAAGTTAGAGTGCGGGTGCTTCGAGGTGGTTACTCTCATTACCATACGTGACGTTTTGTACGACCCCAAGAGTTCTTCGTTTTGGGCAAGCGAAAGCAGGAGGCAGAAATGGACCTCTAGTTACCCCCTAGTCACAATGACGAAAACCTTTCTGTTGTCAGGCACACACAGAAAAACCTTGATTCTGATAGATGACTGTAATAGTGAGGAGAAGTCGGCTTTCGAAAGCGCTCTCTAATATGGCCGATACTGCGTTCCAACGGCGAAATCCTTTGGTTCAGCTTTACCCATCATCTTTCTCTTCGCGGAAAAATGTCTTTTGTGTCACAGCAGGGCTTCATCCGAGCAGCCTAGGGTGAACAAGTTCCTTTCGGAAAGCGAGCTCTTTCTGTTCTCGCGTTGCAACACACAATGTTTTCCAATTAGAGCCCAGTTTTCAAAGTATTGTTTAATGGCATTTCCTCAAACTTACTCTTGAAATCAAGCCGGTGAGAGAGCTCTTCACTTCCTGTCATCCTCACGATGTCATCGAATTTAGGAATTGCGAAGTATGAACTTATAATAAAGACTCCCATTTGACGAATCTGCAACAGTGCTATTAAAGCAGGAATATGCACTATATTAGAGGCACGTCCTGCGAGAGTGAGTTATGGGGTTCATGGAAGAGAGGCAGGTAACTTATTTATTAATGAAGAGAAAAGCAGACAAAAACTGTTGATAATGCCCAAGACTGGACCCTACCTAAGCTTCTGCTTGTACAGTAAGATAAGTTAAGGTACAAAGTGTCTTCCGAAGAATTCCCACTAGAAAACTTCCTGTTGAAACCAGCTTTTTTTCCTGCTTCTTCGCTTTCAATATCCGAAACTGCTTCTTCGCTTTCAATATCCGAAATAGAGCGAGCGAGAGGCGTTACAGCCGCGCTACTCAGGAGTTCGAAGGAGTGGGTACAGGGCATAGCATTGTGGTTTTTTGGAGAGGATCGCCTTAGTTACGAGCGCCTAGCATCTCTACAACGTACTTTAAGGGCTTCCGGGGAGTCTTGCGGGGGGGGGGGTGCTTGCGGATGCAATTGCTTTGCACAAGGAAGGAGTTTTGATCACACGTAAATCGTCTAATGCTTTCAATGTTTGGATTGAAGCATGTTTATCCATCTCGTCAGTTGCGCGTGGAAATAGCTCGCGGTCAACATTTGCCTACTTCATGTACATGTTCTTCATGAATGACAACCACTCTGAAAAAATGCTACAGATATACATCACTGCACGAGTGCATCAGGTGCCTCAAGACGACCGATAACACATACGAAGAAGTCTTACCTCATCGGCAAGTTCGAATCGATCTTTAGATGGTGCTTCCTTAGTGCACTTGGGTTGTTCTTCGCCAGTCGAAACAAGTACAAGAAGTTTCTCCTTTCTAGTCTCAGTCTAAATGCATTGCAAACTTCCGATATATGATAGGATTATGTACTTACGG